ATATTTCTCAGCATCCCCACATGCATCGGTGCTGCTCCCGCTCCTCTCTTTCTTCCATCCTTGTTTTGTACCTCCTGGGAGTGCTCTTCTGGCTGGGGAGATCTTTCTTGAGGCAGAAGGGGGACAAAGGGAGGGCAGATTGGCGCACTGCTCAGCCACAGATTTGACAGCAAATCCACACTGCGTGTGTGGAACTCTCTGCTTTGATGAAGTCCAGTGATGGAGAAAGACAGGTTACCTGCAGGTCTCCCTCCCCTGACCAAAAGAAGTATCTGTGCTCTGAAGTAGCAGGTCTTCCCTAGTGCTGTTTGGAGTTATAAAGCATTGTTTGAGTTTTACAGGTGTATTTTAATGTCAGTGAAATTACTGAGCACAAAACCTTCAATGGATTCATCTTTAGCAAGTGTTTAAGAGCCACTGACTCGTCTCTTGTTGCTGACAAACCATCTAGATTCAACCCATGGTTCTGTTCAGCTTTTCTCCTTTCCCTCCTCTCTCTCTTTCTCTCTCTTTTTTCCTCTTTTTTTTTTTTTTTACTAGCAATTTGATGTTTGATCATTTGAGGCAATGAGGCGGAGGGTAATTTACGTTATCAGGGAGGTATGAGGGGTGCTGGGAACCCAGACGCAAGGCCCATTCGCCTGCTAAAGCGCCATCGTAATGTAATGAGACTCCAGTCAAGTGCAGCTAGTAATGGAGAGGAACATTTCCCATTCATCTGCCTACCTGAGACTCCACGAAGACGACAATAACTTTTGCACGGGAGGAGCAGGGGGGGGACACAGTGAAGGGGGGCCGGTATCTCCGCGGCACAGCTCGCTCCGGCTGGCAGAGAACCACCATGGCCTCACTCTGAGGAGCAGAGCAACACAGCTGTGAGCTGCGGAGCAGCTTGTTGGGTGGCTCAGCCCCCCCATCTCGGACATCCAGCCCACACCTGGCTTGGTCCTGACCCATAGTTCCCTATCCCGGCTGCGGACACACTATTGCCTCTGTAGCACCTCTGTGATGAGGCCTTGGAAGTGGTACCGATAACCACATGCCCGCCACCAGCACCGACAGCAATGCATGCACTCAAGTTCTCGCAAGTGGCCCTGCTGCTCTGCACACTGTATTTGCAGGCTGAGGGTAATTACAGCCGGAGGGAACTTCCTGGATGCAGGCAGACCTCCCGGCACTGACAGCCCAGTGCATGGCAAGGGGGGGGTGGCAGGGGAGAGACGCAGGGGCGGGAGAGATTTGTTTCCTCTCTGTCCCAAGCTGGCTGCTTCTGTGTTCCCAGAACATAGCCTGAGAAAGGGAGCAGAGAGCCGTCTGCTCCCCCTCACCAAATTCCTGCCGCACGGACCCTTCCAATTATACCCACGTCTGAAAGGCTGCTGTCAGGATGAAAGGCACGGAGCAGTAATGAACTGACGATTAATTTGCAGTTGGCTCACCCAGCGCGCGATCCTCGCTCAGGCTCGCTGCGTGCGGGTGCTAAATATGACGATGTCAGCAGTTGTCAGCTAGAGCCAGGGCTGCCCCTCACACCAGCCTCTCCCTGCCACACTGCCAGGGGCTCCAGCCCAGCCCCAGATTCCCAGCAGCACAGGCAGCCCTGGGCCAGCCCTGCAGCAGCCACAGCAGCATGGGGAAGGGGCCCCACGGCCTGAAGGCCTGTGCAATACACTTCACATCCCTTGGTCACCAGATGATCATCTAGATCATGAGAGTTGGCTTCCAGTTACCACAATGGGATCTATGGGGATCAGTTACTATGCTGGCAACCTTGTCCACAGCATTGGGATTGGAACTAAATGATCTTAAAGGTCCCTTCCAACCCAAGCCATTCTTTGACTCTACGATTCTGTGATCAGAAGGATAGGTGCACCGTGAGCATGGACATCTACGGCTTCAAAGACCTGATTAGGAGGATATGAAAACAAGCTGCAAATGGCTGAAAAGCCTGGATTTACAAACGAATCACTGTACCTTCCTGATGCAAACACTGAAGCATACATGTATCTAATCAGTGTCTATCCCAGAATGCGGATAACAACCCCAACACCGACAATTACAGTTGTGGGATACTTGTGCAGCCTGTGTCCTCTAATATCATAGAACCATAGAATCACAGAATCATTAAGTTTGGAAAAGGCCCCTAAGATCATCTAGTCCAATTGTTCACCTACCACCAATACTGCCCACTAACCACGTCCCTCAGTGCCAGATCTCCATATTTCCTGAACACCTCCAGGAATGGTGACTCCATCACTCCCCTGGGCAGGCTGTGCCAGTGCATCACCACTCTTTCTGAGAAGAAATGTTTCCTAATACCCAACCTGAACCTCCCCTGGTGCAACTTAAGGCCATTACTTCTTGTCCTTCTGCCTCACCTGGAGATGGTCTGCACCTCTTTCATGGACACACAGACAGGCTGCCTGAAAGATTCTTCTCCTTAGAACAGTTTTTCTTAGGAAGATTCACATCTGAGCTGTCTGAATTCATGGCATTTTCAGCAGCTTGTGCTGTTCAAAGCAAAACTGAAGCCCTAGAAAAAAATACTCCAGAAAACTGAGCCTTCTCTTTTGACAAATCCTGAAAAAGCCCTTTGATCGCTGGATCAGAATGACATTTCCTTTCTAATGTTATTTGGATGCTATTAGATAATGTGTACAGAGCTCAGTCACCAAAATAAGCATACTTTTTCACATTGAACAAGACATTTAATTTGATCAGAAATGATGACTTTTTCCTCCCGCAGCCTGTTGATTTGCAAAAAAAGAAAGCTTCAACGGAACCAAAACAAGATTATGGCCAGGTATGTGCATCACTGAAATTGCCTGCAACACGTAAATCTGCTGTTTGCCCACTCCCACTACACGCATAATTTTGTTTTATCACTTACAGTCCCGGGGTGCTCACACAACTTGGCAGTCAGTTTCCCAGCATGAAATTACACCTGTCTGGAAAAATGCACAGAATATAGAGAGCCAGAGCGATACACAGAGGTGGGCTCTACTTGCAAAGCAAGCACTCAGATGGCCTGAGGGCCACAACAAAACAGACGTGGTGTCGGTGTCACAGCCCCCCACAGCGTTCGATGGCCCAGAGTCTGTATCACTGCGGGTTCTGTATGCAGAGGTGTTCACTGCTGGCTGTGGGTCTCTGTGCATCTTACACATCTGGCTGTCATTTCAGGTTTTCATTTCTGTGCTCCCTCTGCCCAGTGCTAAGCCAGGCTTTCTGGTTCCCCACAAGAGCAGTGAGCAAAGCCAGGCTCTAGTCGGGTGCCTCGACAGCATCGACACCACATGGCAGGTGATCCTGGCTGCACCACAGTCAGATGAAGCCCAAACCTGAGGGCTCCTCTGCAAAGGAGACCTGAGCCCTTTAAGGAAGAGAGGAGCAGAAATCAATTGTCTGCTCGCCTTCCTCCCTGGGCCCCCCTTTCTCCCTCCTCCATCACCACCACCACCACACACGCACCCTATTCACCCTGCTGGAAGGTGACATTTGCTATTAACCTTATATTGGGCCATTTTGTAAATCAATGTCACTTACATTTAATAACAAGTGTAATCAAAGGAATTATGCAAATTTAATTTGATGCTTCTTGAATTATGCAAATCTGCACCACATATAATGGCTTCTGACATGTGCCCAGTTGGAGAACGTTCCATTACCTCCTCTCTTATTACCCCTATTATTATTTTTATTTTTTTATCCTGTGGTGGGGGGGAGGGAGAAGGGAGGGAGAGGCAGTTAGGCTCGGAGGCAGGGGGGACAAGTGAGTGCGATGGGAAGAGAAGGGAAAGAAGAGGGGTGGTAGAGGAAAGCGCTTCTTTGCCTGCATTTTGAGTAGCAAAGCCTCCTGAAGGCATTTCTGTTATTGTTATTGCAGAGCAAGGAGAGTGGGGCAGGGGGGGAGGAATGGGGATGGGGGGGAATCATTTCCCATGAATGGCTTTGCAGGCAATAATACTATAAGCCTCTGATTCTAAATTACTGCCCTTCCAGTCCTATCTCCAGCACAATATTACTCTCCTCAGCCTCCTCTTCCTGAATTATAAGGCAAGCTGGGGGAGGGTGAGACAAGAGGGGAGCAGAGTGGAATGCACAGGGCAAATGGGTGAAAAAGGGGTTAGTTCTTGATGCTCCAGGGCCAGCCCAGGTGGGGTATCCAGTCTGCTGGAGAATAACTCTTTTTTTTCCCTCTTGGCTTTCCCATCACTTGCTCATTTCCTTGCATGTGACCCTAAGATCAGAAGACAGATTTGCCACAAACTGCTTTATCTTCCCAGAAACTTGTGGCATCAATACCCAGTAGTAATGCTCTTCCTTCCTTTGCAACAGCTTGTGGTCCACAGCTCTACAAGTCAGCGTGGACCTGTCTCCTCCTACACTGTTTTTTCTTGTTAGGGTGAGCAGAGCTGGGCCATATTTTCCTCTTCTGTACTACTCACAGCAGCTGCAGAGTGACTCTTTTCAGGACAGTTGATGCAGACCTTAGGCAAAAGCAATCCCAGGTGTGTCTCGGTATCTTCACACTTGTACAGTGCAAATATAGAACTTAATCTGCCTTCTGGAAGAAGGAGAAGAAAGAGGAGACAACACACACGTTTAATAGTTTTTGTACTCTTCTGATGGAAGTTGGTACACGGCAAGAGGGCATTCCTCCATCATTTCCATAAAGCAATGAGTCACTCACCAGAAATCTCCCTCTGCCTAATTAGAGAGGTGGCTGGCAGAGGAGGATTTCTACACTTCCTAGTTTAGAGACTTGACTTCTGAACAAGATGTTGTCTTATCATGCTGTGAACTTGTGAGTTTTAAAAGGCTCCATTTATACTTACTATGTTTTCTTCCAAAATGTTGCCAGGAACACTGATTTTTTTTCCCTCTTTGCTTTCTATATTTCTGTTTTATTACATAGTCCTGAGAAGACTGCAGGTTTTTTTTGTTTTTTTTTTTGCTAATGGAAGGAAATTTCTAGAAACTTACTCTGCAGCTGGATTTAAAACATTACAAAGTGGAAGATTTTTTTAGTTGATTTTTTTTCCTGCCTGTCAAAAGAAGGTAAAAGGTGAAGGTTTGTTTTATTTTTTAATGGGAGGATGTATATGTAATTCTCAGTGTATTCTCATAGAAATGTGGTGTTAAGGAAATGCCTCCACTCTTTCCAAACTGAAAACATTTTAAAGTTCATGTGGGAAAAGCCACGTTTCAGTCAGATTTTTATAGCATGGTTTCCATCAATGATGAGGAGAGATGCATCTGCTTACCCCACACGTGCTGATGGTATCTGGCAGCACCACCAGCATCTTTCCAACATCACCAACTCACCACCACTGCCACCAGCCCTCCGTGGGGCCCATACAGAAAACAAGGAGAGACCTTCAGCTGTGTTGGCAGATGGAAATCCCACTGGGAGGCCCGGGCCCAGTGCCTGCTCCAGCCCTCACCCAGACCCAGCATGGAGGTGCCTGTCAGAGGAACGTCAATATTTGTGTCTGGCACTTGCTCACTTCCACATGTGGTTGTTGATTCACTGCCCAGAGACCCGTGTCTGTCATTAGGAGGCTGAAGAGAAGAATGAAGCTCATTTCAGAGTCAGATACATCAATAATCTCTGAAGTCCCCTTCTGTCCAAGGTTTCCAGACTGCACAGAGGAGAGAGAACTTGCCTTCCCTTACCTTTATTTGCCTTGACTTTTTTGGCCTTGCCTTTCTTTGTTGTACTCTGCCTTGCCTTTCTTTGCCTGGCCTTGCCATGAGAACAGATGAGACTCATTGCTCCCATAGGCATGGGTGTCATCAGGACCCACTCCTGTCTCCTGGCACCAGGTGCTGCACAGGTAGAAGTTCTCATCACAAAGAACTGCAGCTGAAGCCATGCTGCTGCAGGTGCCCGCCTCACACAGCCCCCGGCTCTGAGGATGCTTCTGGGGAAGGAGGTTAATAAGTGTGTGGAGCTGAACTTGTCCCTGGTGCTAAGCCTACTGAGGTCAATGGAGGCACCGCGCAGCCCATAGGGGCCTATTCCTGAATTCCAGAGGTGGTTAGCAGATGCAGGTGCCTCTCCTGCAGAGACAACTCAGCTCATAACATGCTGCCTCATAGCTGGTGTTTCTGGGCTTAGCTCCCCATGAAGCTTTTCAGGGCAACATCGCTGAATGACTCCAAGTGTGAATATTCCAGGATAAAAGGCATTTGTTGGGAATAGCTGCTGGGAACAGCCCTGCATGTGTGGAACACCCTGTAGGGCCCATAGCAGCCTGCAGCACCCAGATGAAAGCTAAAGCTGGATACACTGGCAATCATTGAGACCTATGCTCAGTGCTTGCAGTGTGCTCTCCCACTTCCCCACATGATAGTCCCACAGCCTCACAGCCTTTCACCTGGGATGCTTTCTAAACATACTGATGCTGACTCGGAAATAGACCACGTGAAGTTTCCAGGTCCAGGCTGAAAGACCTTTGTTCCATTGCCAGGAGGAGGGATTTGCTTGGCCTGGGTTCTGGAGGGGGCATGCTGGGCTTCCCACGGGTAAATAAATAGAGTGGGGAAGTGCCCTGGAGGCCATCATTGACACAAGGGCTCTAAAACGGGCTGTTCCCAGCGGGAGGCCCCTCTGCTTGAAGTTTACATGTTCTCCCCTTCCCTGGAAATCACAGGTCATCGCTCGCAGCCACCTCCTCCCCACTAAAACTGTAATCTGCTAAGAGCCATAAAAACACGGCTTAGAAAGGGCTGGGAATGTGACCTCATGAGAAAGGAAATGCTGACCAAATAAGCATGAAGTATCCCAGGAAACAGTTTGGAGAGAACAGGCTGAAGGTGCAAGAGAATACACTGTTGTAGAAGATGGTGAAGGCTCCACTCCATGCTTCAGCTTCCTCATCTGCAAGGTGGAGATGACAGGGCACAAACCCTCACCCCACAGAAGAGGCCCAAAAACTACCAGCAGGGACTCTTTTGCAATATCATTCCACTGGCATCAGTGGAGGAACCTCTGCTGAGCAAGGAAAAAAGAAGTGCTGAGGGCGATGTTCCATTTAGCCTTCCCTTGGCAATGCCAGAGGATGGAGATTTCCACTGGAAAGGAACCAGAGTTTCTCCTTCCTCTTAAGGCAAGTGAAAGCAGGATAAAATTTCATGAGGGGTGGGTCTTAGTCTGGTACCAAGGAACAGGACGTAAGGACTAGATAAGAAACCCAGAAACTGGACAGGTAGACTAGCTAATTTTTTATAAGGAACTAATTCTGTATTTTGTAATTATGTATTTAGTGGCTTCTGGGCTCTGCATTACATAATGTGCAATGCTCTCACACCTTCAGGCTCATTTCTCACTTCTCCATTTTTCCCCAACAAATGGGTGCAACCCTGCCTACAGACATCCTATCCAGTTATTCCTGCTTCATCCCAGGGCAGTCCTCTACAGCCAGCCATGCTTGGTTTTCTCCTTCAACATCCGTTCTGAGAAGCTGGCTCTTGGCACTGCAGGAAGAGGGATTATTTGTTCTTTATTAATTTATGGAAAGGAAGGAAGAGGGTGGAAATTGCAACGAAAGGGACAGCCAGCAAGATGGCAAGGAAGAGAGGTTAAAAATGAAGTCATCATCTAATTGGCCCGCAGTGAATTATTCACATGTATAATCTTTTAAAAAAAAAAATTCAGCACAAGGCAATGCAAGTAAATGCTGTTCATGTTTAAAAGTCATTTCCATAAGTAAGTGCAATTTCTCTACTGTTTGCCCCTGTTTAATGAAGTGAAATCTTGTTTGCATTCCTCCCAATTTCCCAACGAAAGGCGCCCAAGCGTTTGCACCAAAATTACTCGGCCCAAATTAAAACCCTCCAACACTTTAAAAAAAAAAAAAAAGGAGAAGGGGGGAAAAATAAGACTTATTTTTAAAATGCCTTAAGTGCATCCCAGCATCCTAATTTATTTTTAGACACTTGTTATTAAGAGTAGTAGTAAGTTTCCCCTTCTCTCTCGCTCTCTCTCTTATTTAAATGAACTTAATGGCAATAGATGCAAATGTCTGGAAGAGGAAAATAGTTAACATTTATTTATTCTTACTGTTGTCTCTTCCCTGGCTGGTGTCATTAGAACAGTTCGTTGCATCCCATTCGCTCCCATTAGCTCTGCTATCAGAGCCACCCAGCACGACTCCAGCACGGCTCGAAGTGCTTTCTGCGGCCCACATAGGGACTACATCATCATCTCCGAGGCACTGGCTTAATGACAAGAAAAAAAATTGGAATATATTGCACAGCGATCTGGGGAAACAACAACAAAAACCACCACCGCTGTTGTCGCCCATTGCTGCCCGCTCTTGACCCAACAATGTGTGGTCCTCCGTTGGACGGACGGATGGACGAGACGCAGCACTGGGACAAACGTGCTTTCACAACCCACTGATCCAGGCAATGTGCAGAAAAATACGGCAACAGGACCCGAAGCGCTTCCAAATGCTCTCAGAGGACCCAGCTGAGCTGTGTTCCTGGTGGTGCAGCAGCCGAAGTCCTTCTGCAGCGCTGTGTCTGGTGGATGTCCCCATCACGGCCTGCTCCTGCCTGTGTCACAGCACAAACATTCCTTCATGGAGTAGGACCAGTCCCGGATCCTCTCCAAACCATGGGTGGAGGAGGACATGTAGGCAGGAAGAGAGGCAAACTCCTTGCAAGGAAGGAGACAGGCCCCTGGGTGCCCTGGCACGGTGAGGATGGCAGTGAGAGGCAGAGAGACCCAGGGCTGTGTGACAGCGCCAGCTGACAAAGCAGCATTTGGGAGGGAGGACATCAGCATCTGCAGCGCTGACACATAAAAGAGAGGCAGCAGCTATTACAGGCGGGGACAGAGGCACTGAGAGGGCCCTCCCCCCTCCATAAAGTTGACATTGTCTCCCATGATAACTTTTCTGCTGAGGTAGGAGACACTTTACTGCAGAGTTGCACACAGCAAGTAGCTGCCCTCCCCCCGCCCCTTCCCATCCTCTCCCTCTCCCTCTCTCTCCAGCATCATTTACATCCTTAATTAGCTGTAATTCTGCAGTGCTCATTAGGGAAGGACTGGAAAATATCAAGGAGCCCACAAGCAGGGGGCTTCGGGGGAGAGGGAGGAAGAGGGGGATGTGGGCGCCAGGCTGAGAGGGGATGCCCAGGGCTGGGCTGCAGAGCCAGGAGTCAGGAGCTGCTCACTTAATTTGAGTGGGATGATTACACTAATTTGGGAGCACTGATCCAGTGATGGGGTTAAAGAGGCCACACTGTCCCACCTAGAAAGGCAGAAGTCCAGAGAGCAACAGCATCTGACCAAGAGGGCTTGTTACTTCCCTGCTGGTGGATGAGGTCTCTCTGCTGGGTCGTGCAGCCCCGCATGCCTAATGTCAGTGGTCAGATCCAGGGGGAGGGCAGCCTTCCTTCCGCTCCGAGGCAGGTGGCCACACAAACCTGCCCTAAAAGTAAAAAAAAAAAAAAAAAGAGAAAGAAAGTAAGGAAGAAGAAAAAAGAAAAAGAAATTAGAACTCAAAACTAAAGCCAAACTGCTGAATGGAGTATTTCCTCCAACCCCAAATGGATAAACAGCGTGAAGTTTTACTGTTGGCCCAGTTATTTGATGTAATTACTCTGGGGACCAGCAGCAGACCTGGGCAGTTCTTGTCTGGACTCCTGTTAGCTCAGAAGTGTGCACACAGACAGGGTGCAGCCCTGCCTCTTCACAGCCCCAAAGTACAAGACCAGTTAGGAGGCACTACAGCCTCCTTGCCTTAGCTGCAGGACCAGGAACAAGGAGGTTAAGTGCATTGGGCAAGGACACAAAGAAAAACTGGTAGAGCAGGAGGTGACCTCAGATTTCCCAGTGTCTCTCTCTGAACTGCTAATTGCAAGCCATCTTTCCTTATGCTGTAGCACATGGATGTTTGTATGCCCACTTGCACTTGCTATTCTAGGCACACACTTGGCTATTTTTTAATTCACTGCCTCACTGTATCTTTGCTCGAGGTTAGATGTGCATGTAAAAGACTATCGGGGAATTCAGTGAAGTTGACAGAGACGGTCTTTGCAAGTCCATCCTCCCACTTTTCACTTACTGGTAATAATATGAGCCTACAGTTCCTTGGGGCTGAGCTGTGATGGTGTGTCCCACCAAAGACTCAAAATGATTACCAGTGCATGTGGCGTTGATGCCTTTTTTTGCAAATATAAGGGCACGTGCACAAATGGGCACTTGCACTTCAATTTATCTTCCTCTGTATGACTTTTATTTTCACCTCATGAAGACATTTATTAACATCTTCAAATTCCCTCTAGTGTTTAGATGAAACTTGCCATAACAGAGAATCAGAATATATGAATGTGCCAGAACAACTCAGGAGAGAACCCCGGTGAAATGCAGCTTTAGAGGAGTGCCCAGGACCTTTACAAAACTGCATTTCAGTGGTTCATAGTGTTGGCTCTGGGGTTTAACACAGGTTAACACCTAACCAAGACAACTTACACCATTCAAGCAAAGACAAATTTGGCCCACCTTTCGATATTAACATCTGGCTTCTCCTGTAGTGTTTGGTTCATAGATCAGAAGATAAAATTTCCAGCTCCACTCACTTTATGTGAAATTCAGGTTGCAAAGAAGTGGCAGTGGAGATTACCTGGATCTTTAAAGCAGTACCTTCTCTACACTTCCAAAGGACTATTTAGTCAAGATTTCCAATGACAAACTGATAAAGCCAAACCTTCAGAATGTCCATTATCTAGTATTTGGGAAGAAGGATGAAGATCAGAAAAAAAACCAAAAAAAACCAGGCTAGCTCCCTATTAGAGATGTTTGGTCTGTACAAGGACAAGTGCCTCATCATGGCCTCTGGGCGAGGAAGGGCTACAGATTCCCAAGCTGCACACCTGCTGAATCTACATGAGAGTCTGTAAGTTGCTACTGGATACCTTAAGGCATCTAAGAGTTTATTTCCCTGGCCCACCTGCCCTTGGGAGCATCTCCTGGAGAAATGGGTCTGCACCCAGCAAGGCCTCCTGCTGAATCCACCCCCGGGCACCTCACTTTTCCCACAGGGCTGGGGCAGCCAGAGGGAGATGGATAGCCAGGGAAAGCAGCGGGCGAAAAGCAAACTCACACTACATAAATTCTTAAATGCTGTTTTATAAGGACACAACGGTGTAACAACTTGCCAAGAACAACACTGAAATTATTTCAAGGTTTCCCATTTGTTTGTAAAGTGAATATTAAAAGTGCAGGCAGCAGTCTCCCGGTGTTCCCCTGGGAACTGTTAGTGTCCGTAGTAACGAGGTCATTCCTTTTTTATTAGGAGATGGGTTTCTGTAAAGTTAAATGTGCTGACAGCCTCTTGCCTTTGATGTTGGGTTTCACCTCCGTCCCTCCTGCAGATATTGCCGCTCCTCCCTCGCAAAGACACATCCCTGACAAACAATCTCCCTTCTGTCTCCCCTGCTTGTTTGTTTAGATGCATGATAGGCAGCTCTGCTAAAGGGCAGCACAGGAAGGCGGGCTGCTGCTCCAGCGGACGGCGGAGATGTGAGAGATTTGGTGGCTGTAATTAAGCTAGCCTTCATCCCCCAATCTGCCGTGACTCTCGGTACCCTTCACTTTATTGACCGGACAGATAATTACAGCGCGGCGCTCACAGGGCCCTCAGTCACAGCGGCACTGCAGCTGCTCGGGGAGCTCTGCCCCAGTGCTGGGCCTGGAGGCAGAGCAGGAGCACCTTCTTCATCCGGCAGCTTGGGTATCCCTGTGGTGTGGCCTCCAATCACTCAACGTCCCGTGCCTTCCTGACCTCAGTCAGCAAAGACACGGACACACAGGTTGGCCGCAGTCAAACCATACCGCAGAGCAACCTGCTCATCAACACAAGGAAGGAACACCTGGTGAGGGCAGCACTTGGGAGACTCAGTTCTGTGCTGTACCCAAGAGCTTCCTAAAGGTTCTAGGCAAGTCAATGAAACAGTTCCCATGGCAGTAACACGGGGTGGCCCCAGGAGCCTCAGTCAGTGGTGCACCCTGTGCCTGTGCATGCCCAACAGCCAGTACCAGGAGACACAGTCCCACCTGGCACCTCAGCACAGCTCAGTAACACAAAGAGACTAACGTTTCTGGTGTTTGAACATTAAACTGGCAACAATGCCCACCGTGAGCATTGTGTGAAGCCACTCGTTAGCTCAGCAAAAGATAAATAATACATTCATGCTTCAAAGTGAAGTATACATTGTGTGCACCCAAATAATAGGAAATAATGTGGGTATCCTTGTTCATCATGGACATAGTGGGAAGAAATCAACTTCCTTGGGAACAGGTGCTTAGAAATGATTTATTCGCTCTTGGGAAATGAATACAAAAACCAAGGAGACAGTGCTGTGCACTGAGGTGGACCAGAAATTTGCCTGCCCATATTTAACCACAATCAAGAATCCCAGTTGAATGGTTGGTGATAGTACCAGAAACTCTAGTTTTGGTAGGGGAGCCTGCTTGCTCCCCT